TGGTGAGGGAGGGGCTAGCAATGGGTCCAGGCCGGTGGGGTCTGGGTGCTGGCAGGACAGAGGCGGGGAGGGGAGGACGGATACATTCCTGGCGGTCTCAGCCCACCCGTGCGAGACGGGGGCTCAGCGGGTTGAACCCCCCCCGGCCCCTGCCCCTTTTGTGCTCCCAGCCCAAAAGCGCTTTCTTCTCTCCCCTCGAATCTCCATGGAGACCCGGGTGCCTTCCCCGTATCCCAGCTGCGGCCAGACCCTTCGGGGGGTCCAGCCAGGGATATGGGGAAGGCAGCTGCACCCCACAGCCCCCTTGGCCCCATCCCAATTCCCTGCTGTCTGTCCCCCCCCCTTCCAGCTCTCAGCATGAAGGAGACCTTCCTGGTGCTCTCGCTGCACAACAAGCTGAGGAGCAAAGTGCAGCCCCCCGCCGCCAACATGCAGAAGCTGGTGAGCCCCCCCTCAGGTCCTCCCCCACCTTGGATGTCCCATCCACCTCTCACCCCATGACCGGGGGGGCAGCCCATAGGTACCACGCAGTATTTCGTTAACAAGCTAATGAAGCGGAAGGGCTGGCTGGTATGGGGCCCCTGGGGAAGGACGTGCCACCGGCACTGCCAGACCCAGCGCTCATCAAGGGTAGGGCTGGTCCCTTGGGGATACCCATGAGGTCCTCCATGTCCCATGATGGCCCTCGGTGTCCCCTGATCACCCCACATCTGTGCACACCAAGGACAAGGCTGGTCCCTTTGGGTCCCCCGCATCCCATGATGGCCCTTAATGTCCCCTAATCATCCCACACCTGCACACACCAAGGTCAGGGCTGGTCCCCTGGGGTGTCCCCCACGTCCTGTGATGCCCCTCGATGTCCCCTGATCATCTCACGCCTGTGCACACCAAGGACAAGGCTGGTCCCTTGGGCTCCCTTGTGGGGTCCCCCAATTATCCCACACCTGCACACACCAAGGGCTGGGCTGGTCCCCTGGGGTCCCTTGCAGCATCCCCCATGTCAACCCTCCGATGTCCCCCAATCATCCCCTGGACTGACCCCCTGGGTGGTTCCCTGCTGTGCCCCAGCATCCCCCCCATCGGGGCTGTCCCCAGGGACCCTCGGTGGCTCATGGCACCATCTGCACCCCTGCAGGAGTGGAGCGAGGAGCTGGGGCAGCTGGCAGTCTCCACAGGGTTGTGTCGGGGGGAGTGAGGGCTGGCCTATGGGGATGCGTGGTGAGGGTGTGGGGGCGTGGCCTTGCCCTGGTGGTGGGTGGGGACTGGAACTGTGGGCGGGGCTGTGGGGGTGTGGGCGTGGCCCTGTCCCAGAAAGGGGTTTTGCTTGTCTGTGTGGGCGGGGCAGGGAGCTGGGCCAGCCACCTCCAGCTGCCTCCGGCGACAGGGGCAACTGGGAGGTGGGGGGGACGCCCGTCCTGCCCTACAAGCAGGGTCCCTGGTGCTCCCTCTGCACCGCTGGCCTCTCCGGCTGCTTCAAGTCCTGGGACCACGGTGGCGGGCTCTGCGGTGAGTCCCTGCGGTCCCCCCGGCCCCTGCGTGGCCCCCAGCCGTGCCACAGCCCTTGACGCCCACGACGCCTCTCTGCTGTGCCCAGAGGTGCCCAGGAACCCCTGCCGCATGAGCTGCAGAAACAGTGGGCGCCTCGACATGAGGAGCTGCCAATGCGCCTGTCCCCCTGGCTACACGGGCAGGTACTGCCAAGGTGAGAGGGGCACCTGCACAACCCCTGTCTCCCCTCACCTCTAGAGATGCCCATGCATGGCCACTGCAGTGCATGCGTGCGCAGGGTGGGTGCAGTGCATGTGTGTGCAGTGTCGGTGCAGTGCACGCGTGTGCATGGCTGGTGCAATGTAGGCATGCACAGGATAGGTGCAGTGCATGCATGTGCATGGACAGTGTGCTGCATGCACATGCAGGGTCAGTGCACTGCATGCGTATGCATGGCTGGTGCAGTGCATGTGTTCAAAGGGTTTGTGCAGTGCGTGCATGCACAAGGTCAGTGCAGTGTGTAGGGCAGGTGCAGTGCATGCGTGTGCATGGCCAGTGTAGTGCATGTGTGCACAGGTCCAGTGCAGTGCATGCATGGGCATGGCCGCTGCAGCATTCATGGTCTGCTCGGTGCCCGCGTGCACACAGTGGTGCACCATGTGCGTGCACCAGGTCAGCTCAGTGCACACATGTGCACGGCCAGTGCAGCACAGGCAGCTCGGTGCAGCGCCCAGGTGTGCAACGCAAACTCAGCCGGGGTGGGCAGGGGCTGCCGAGCTCCCCGCCAGCTAATGCGGCATCTTGCCCACAGTGAGGTGCAGTGGGCAGTGCCTCCACGGGAAGTTCAGGAAGGAGGAGTGCTCCTGCCTCTGCGATGTGGGCTACGGTGGAGCCGAGTGCGGCAGTGAGTCTGCGCCCACCTGCGCTGCTTTGGGGTGGCAGCAGGGATCTGCAGGCGGGGACCCCTGGAGCGGGGCTAAGGGTCCTCTGGTGGGCCCAGCTCTGCCGGCACAGGGACCCACCTGTGCCTGTCTGTGTCCCCAGCGAAGATTCAGTTCCCTTTCCATGCCTGCGACGTGCAGATAGACGGCAACTGCTTCATGGTGTCCCCTGAGGCTGACACCTACTACGGGGCCAAAATAAAGTGCCAGGTGAGCCCCCGGGATGCTCTGGGCATCCCTTTGCAGCTGAAAAATGCCACCCATGCTCGTAGCACCCCTGTGCATCTCTCCACTGCCTGGCGTGGGTCTGAGCCGCGTATTTGGAGCTGACTCCCTCCCTTCCCCGCAGGAGAAAGGGGCGATGCTGGCCCAGATCAGAAACCAGAAGGTCCAGGACATCCTGGCTTTCTACCTCAGCCGCTTGGAGACCAGTAACAGGGTGACAGACACCGATTTTGAGACTGGGAACTTCTGGATTGGTGAGTGATGGCAGCAGGCAGGGTGCGGGGTGCCAGGGGTACAGGCAGATGTGCCACCCCACCTCCCGCTCCCCCAGGTCTCACCTACAAGACGTCCAGGGCTTCCTTCCGCTGGGATGTGGGCGAGCCATCCTCCTTCACCAGCTTTGCTTTCGGGCAGCCGGACAACCAGGGGTAAGTGCCCACTGGATCCAGAGGACACCTGACCTCTGTGTGGTGTCACCACTGTGCCACCGTGCTGGCTGGCTTCACCACCCTCCTGCCGGGGCACAGGTTTGGGAACTGCGTGGAGATGCAAGCATCGGCTGCCTTCAACTGGAACGACCAGCGCTGCAAGACCCGAAACCGGTACATCTGCCAGTTCGGTGAGTGAGTGGCCAGGAGCCCTCCCACACTTTTCTGGGGGTGCCGAGCCCTGGGGGTGCCGGCCCCCGGCTCTGCTGGGTCTGTGCCCCACCGCCAGCCCTGCCCAGACCCCTGGGTCCTTCCTGGCGTGGGGGGCACTGACTCTCCGCATCCCATCACAGCCCAGGAGCACATCTCCCTGTGGCAGCGGGACCCCTGAGCCAGCAGCCCCGGGCACCAGCCAGCGCTGGCTTCTGTGCCGAGCCTGTGGCTCAGGAGAACCCCGGTGCTGTGCCAAGCCTGGACTGTGGCTCAGGAAGACCCCACTGCCATGCTAAGCCCAGACCATGGCTCAGGGGGACCCCGCTGTTGTGCCAAGCCCAGACCGTGGCTCAGGAGGACCCCCCCAGCTCCCCCACGCAGGGGGATGAGGGGCTGAGGAGACCCATGGTGCTGGGACCTGGCGAGAAGGGCGCGTGCTCTACGTCAGCATCCCCGAAACAGCGTCTTTTTCTGCCCCTCACCTTCCTGTTGCCATCACGCTGTGACAGCCCCCAGGGCAGGGAGATTCCCCCACAACAGTCAGGTCCAACAGCATCCTCCTCCTAAATTGGCAGCTGGGCTGGGTCTGGACTGTGGTCCCGATGCGACGAGGGGCCAAGGAGGGCTTCTGGGGGGGGCGCAGACCTCAGCACAGCTCAGGGTGAGGGCTGGGCTCAGCTCCGAGCCATCGCCCTGACCTGGGTGGGACCCCCCCAGCCTGACACCATGGATTCCTCACCATCACCTGGTCCTTCATCGTCATCCGGTTCCTCACCATCTGCCAGGTGGTTAATAAAGACCCTCTCTCCCTTGGGAAGGGCCATTTGTTTCCTTTTCCTCCCCCAGATCCATCAGACACTCTCTACTGTGGCCCGCATCCTGCCCACACTGGGTTGTACCTCCATGGAGCTCCATCCCTGGAGCAGGGAGCCTGGCTCCTGGCTGAGCTCGTGTCTCCAGCACCCTGGGGATGTTTTGGAGGGGTGGCATAAGCCAAGAGTTGCTTCTTCCAGCCCCAGGACGGCCCCAAGCCACGGCACCCCATGTGCTGGGCGCAAGCCTGTGCCCCCAGCGCTGCTGGGTGTTGGGTGCCTCTGGAGGGGACACGCCGCTGCTGCCCCCAAGCTGGCACCCTGCAGGGACCTTCCTGCCGCAGAGCTGGAGAGTGACCTCCCTCAGCTGCCCTTCTCCCTTCCAAACAGCCCGCTCTAGCGCCAGGCTGGGGTGGAAAGTAAACCATCCCCAGCCAGGGCGTTGTGCATGGGTTGTTTGTGCCACGGCCCCGGCTCGGCAGAGAGAAGGCACGAGCCGCATGACCGCCAGCAAGGCTGGGCTCATGGCTCTGGGCAAGCTGGGCAAACCCGGGGTGCAACCGAGCCGTGGGCCAGGAGGGCAGGGTCCCACAGGCCGGAGGGGACGGGAGGCAGGAGAAGGAGCCTGGGGAGGATGAGGATGGGGATGGGGATGAGGGTGGGGATGGGGATGGTCCAGCACGGCAGCCACGTCTGTACGGCTGCAGCCCGGGGGGAGGGAGGGCCCCC